TACCCATACATGGTATGATGAATCCTACCCAAACATATTTTCTACCCACATGCTTTGTTATTGACAAAAAAATCCTAACCGCATGATATCTACTTCGCAGGCTTCGTGCATAAACATAAAACCTAACCGCATACCCTTCTAGTTCTAATGCTTTTTACAAAATGAATAAATAAATAAATAAATCTGAGGAAAAGTTAGAGTGAGTTTCCCTTTTTTGATTTTTGAAGAACCACAGAAAAAATTTCGGTACAAAATGGGCAGAGTTTCAGTACTGCTAAAAAGGTCTTCGAATTGTCCTTTGCTGGTGCCCCCTTGGGCCTTCCAAACCCTTGATCCTCACCCATTATAGGCTTAAACGAGTCAAGTTCAATTTGAGAGGATGTATTTCCCTATGTCCATTCGAGGAATCTCAATGTTCCGCTCATAAACACAAGGCATGTGTAGCCGAGAGGCTACTTGCTAAAGCCCATACGGAGAAAAATAAATTTTCTCACGTAAGCGTAGCGTTCACCCCTACCTAATGGGACAACGAACAGTTAGAAGGCTCTAAGTATTCAAACGGTTATAGCGTGTATGAGGGGAAACTCACAATCTTTTGTCTAGATCAAAAAACAATCAGACTAAAAAAAGTTAGAAATCTGAAACATGTAAATCACACATTAGTACAACTAATGAATAAAAGAAGTATGACATGATGTGATACAAACAAAACATAAGGATCAAAATTTAAATGTCATTCATATTTACCATTTTCAACTAGAAAGATGACGTATAATCGATTACGACCTGACTCTCTAATGTCCCCAGTGGAGTCAACAAGCTGTTGGAACAGTCCTTAAGCTTTTTAGGGCTATGGCGGGAAGCGATCCAACTTAAATTTGGAAAAGATTGGTTTTTTAAATAAAGACATAAATAAAAAAAATTTGAGTCGTCATCGACCTTTGGGTTAGGTAGGTCGAATACCTAAAAAAGTGATATGTGTTTAACTAGAAACTAGTTTTGAAAAGGGTTCGGGAGTCGATTACGCGTGGGGAAGGATTAACACTCCCACAGTTCCCAAAATCGGTACCTAAGCTATTATACGCCATCTGAATATTGAAATTAGCTAATTTAAATATGCATAAATTATGATCCTATTAGAAAGAAAATTTCGAAAAAGGTATTACTTCGTACGGACCATATTCATAAACATATTTCTTCTAGTTAAGGCGTGTTTTCATGGATTTTCCATGCCAAAGATCATTACTATGTTTTTCTTAAAATATATTTAATATAAAAATAAAAGAGTGAATGAAATGAAATGAAGAAAGCATTGGAGTAGAAAGAAAATTATTTTGTGTGGTTAATTCTTGAAAACACATTCCTTGTTAGTTAAGGCGCGTTTACATGAATCTCCCATATAAGATAATATTCATTCAATTTTTCTAGAGAGAATGCATATGTTTAATATGTCTAAAATATAAATCCATCTTTTGTTCTCTAATGGCATAAATGAGGGACTAATATGAATATTTTACGAATTTACGGCTAGAATTTAAAGCATGAGACCACCAAAAAACGAAATAAACAATGTACAAAAAATAAATAATAAAAAATGTAGGTGCTGGAAATAAATGAATCATGAGCAATATGGGTGGCTAAAATAAAATGAAGTGCAAAGTAAAATACATAAAATGAGAACATAGAAAAAATAAATGCTAGAATATTAAAGGACTAAAATAAAATGCAGGAAATTAAAGGGACAAAAAATAAAATACTAAAAATAAAAGTGCTAGAATAAAACATAGTAAAAAAATAATAATAAAAACATATATTAAACACTGAATTTAAAGTTAGAGGGAATAATTTTTAATCAACATTTTAACATGGATCATAAATAATGCGGGTTATACCCTAGGGTAGGTCACCGCAAGGTCGTTGAATGTTCGAATATTAGAGGGTTAGTGAGTTAGCTTGAGCAAATAAATAAAATGTTAGTAAGTTAGTATAAACAATAAAATAAAATGTTAGTATGTTAGTACAAACGATTAAATAAAATGTTAGTATGTTAGTACAAACAATAAAATAAAATGTTAGTATGTTAGTATGAACAATAAAATAAAATGTTGTATGTTAATAAGAACAATAAAATAAAATGTTAGTATGTTAGTAGTCAAATTAAAAGAAGAGAAAATAAAGGGCTGAAATCAGAACAAATAAAACATGGAATATAACAGATTAGTGGCTAAATTGAAAGTAATGAAAATAAAGTGAAGAAAATAAAATAATAAAAAACGCAAGGTTTGGTGACTAGCTTGTAAAAACATGACAAAAGGGGTGGGGGTTATGCGTGATTTTCCCATTTTTTGACTTATAAATACCACATTTTAGCTATTTTGGGCAAAGAGGAAACTCTAGAATCTCTTTCATTTTTTCTTTTTTTTTTCTCAAATCCTTTCTACCTCATCTCTCGTCGGTGCCTCTAAAAAATCTAGAAAATCGGTTAACCACCATACATCGTGGCCAAACCTTGCTTCGACAACCTCCTAAGGCCTTCCCCTCTTCTACTTAGCCACAGTTGGAACCCAAAAGACCCAAAAAGAATCAAGCCCCTCTAAAAAAACTCTCGACCGAACCAGAAAAGAACCAACATTGCTATATGTCGGCGGCGTTTTACCCATCCGCCACCATTGACGTTAAACCTTCCTAAAAAAAGCTCACTTTTAACCTTAAACCTAAATCCAAAACACCTCTAAACTAAACAAGGGTCCCTAAACGACTGAAAGGTTAAACCTTTTGGACTTTCGGCAACCAAAGACTCCTAAAGGAGGTCTCCTTCCTCTTTTCCGACGACCACCTCCACTGACGATGTCTTGACCACTAAGGTAAAAAAGAGTTTGTTCCTTTTTAGACTTTATTTTTCTGTTTTTGAACGAAAGAAAAAAAGAAGAGCTTGACACAAAAGGTAAAAAGATACCTTGATGATTGTATTCCTTTTTGAATATGGTATTTTTTTGTTGTATACTAGAATCAAATCCCTCCCATTTTATATGTTGTTTGTAGGTATTATAACTTGAGTAAAAAAGAAAAAGAAAGACTTCTCTCCATGATTTCTTGCCATAGTTTTATTTTTTCCTCTGTTACAAATCTTTCCTTAAAAATGAAAGAGAAGAAATAAAAGGTGCTTTTACATCTCATCAATTTTTCTTTCGTTTTTCGCATGAATCTGACGAGGAGTGGATTTGGTGTTGTTGGGGACATATTTGGTACTACTGGTGGTACGATGCTGCTCGCGTGGAGGCCTGACTCTTGGAAGCCGAGGAGTCACCGCGTTGGGGGCACGCGTGGATATTTCTGGAATGCCTCAGCGACGGCAGTTGATGCATGGATGCTTGATGTAGCTAGGGTTTCTCAAACCCTAAACTTTCTAGGTTATTACTGGTTCGTGCTTGTTTCTCTGGGATGTTACATCTCGATTTTGGGCTGTTAGGTTGGTTCGAGCCTACTTCAGATGTAGTTTTTGGCTTGCTTGAGCATGTAATTATGACATGTGAAAATAAATAATAATAATATTAATATAATGATATTAAGAATATTAATAAATAATAATATTAATAAATAATAATAAAAAATAAAAAAGAGTCTCCGGACGAAAACGGTATTCACAGCATTGAAGGGATTTTTTTAATTAAAAAAACAAGCGAGCCAACATTTTAATTAGATAAGTCAACTGTTTTAATTAATTAGATCAACGTATAAAATTATAAAATAAAATATTAAATTATATTAAATTAAATATATATTAAAAATATATTATTTAATTATGTCAATGTCAATGTCAATTGTGAACCATCTTACAGCCTGTCTTCGTAATACGTTTTGCAATGATAATAAAGATATTGGTATATTCATATTTTTGTCTTCAAATGTTTGAGAAAAAGTTTATGTTTTTAAATTTCAATTAAATTAAATTAATTGACAAAAAATTAAAAATTATTAAGTTTACATAAATTATTTTATATTTTAAACATTTTTAGAAAACTAATTTTTTAATAATTTGAATATATTTATTTAAATTTTTGTATAAAATTTCAATTTCAATTATATATATTATTTTTTACATTTTTATGTGAAATGTTAAGATAATTGCCATTACTATTAATAAAAAAGATACAATAGTTAATATCAACTTAACTAATATTATTTTCCTCATCATTTAATTTGATTTAACAAAAAACTAAAATATTTTAAGAGTTAAAATGATTATTTTTTTGACAAGGATAAGAACCAAAGTGTTTATCAGGGGTGTAAACGAGCCGAGTCGAGCTCGAGTATTGCTGAGCTCGACTCGACTCGAAAACTCTAAAATGAAGCTCGACTCGACTCGAAAATTCGCGAGTTTAAAATTTTCAAGTTCGACTCGAACTCGAAATCTTGAACTGAAGCTCGTGAGCAGCTCGAAAAGGTTCAAAATGAAAAAAAAAATTCTTAAACTTAACTATTAAAACCTCAAACTCAAACTCGAACTTAAACCTTAAATACATGAAATCTTACTGTATTTAAAAAAAATCAATACATAAATATTAATATTATTATTAATTTATTTTTTTAAATAAAATCTTAATATATTATATTTTCGAGCTGCTTACGAGCTTTTCGAGTCGAATATCGAGTAGCTCGTTTCAGTTCGTTAAGAACTCGAGTCGAGCTCGAGTCGAGTCCATTCGATCCGAATATTTATCGAGCCTTGATTGAATCAATATCGAATAACTCACGATCTATCTCATTTCATTTACAGCCATAGTGTTTATTAGGAAAAAATGTTTGAGGAATTGCTCAACTTAAATTAAAAAAGAAGAAAAAGAAGCTCACTCTTGTATTGTTTTGATTGTATTTCAAAAAATGATAAAATAGGAGTAAAGCTTAAATTAAGAATTAGAATTGAAAATGGGCAGTTGGCTCTATCCTTGAATCTCTTGCTGACACATCATCTTCTCTTTCTCTCTCGAGTCTCGACATTTCCGAGGTACAAAATCTCTCTTGTTCATTCCTTCTCTCTTTTGCTCAACTCTCACTCCACTCTTCAATTTCCCCAGGTCTGTTTCATTTTCTTTCAGTCTTTGATTTTTCTCTTCTTTTTCTTTTTTAAGTAGGGGTTTTAATGATGCTCTGCTTTCTTTCTGGGTACGTTCTAATAGTAAAAAAAAAAACGAATATGCTTTATTGCCATCAACTGTCCTCTTTCTTTCTTTTTATTTATTTTGGTTGGCTCCATCAACTCCTTACATTGAATTTACACCTGGGAAACACACTACCAAAAGAAGAGAGAGAGAAAGAAGAGAAAACCCGAGTTTCTTAGCTGTTTTTTTTCTTGATTCATGCTTTTCTTGTTTGTCCGTTTCTTTTTTTTTCCTGGGTTACTGGGCATTGAACTATTCCCAGATTGATACATTTTATCGGTGTATTACCTTGTTATTTAATAGGGAGGTTTTGTCTCTGTCTATCTGGTGCGTTATTGTTTCTTCATCTGAAAAAAAAACATTTCTTTTCTCTTTTTTATTGATTGGGGTCTTTGAATTATGTATTGATTTTGATGTTTTACAATCTGGGTAGTTGCAGAATTCAAAGCTTTAGACTTTTTGAGCGATATTTCCCGTTGATCGTACTTGTCAAAAGGCAGTCCATTGAGAATCTGAATTATGGCTGAATTTTCAAGTGTTTGAGATCTGGATAGTGTTGGAAACTCGAAGGGAGGAGGATGTACGCGGTGGGGCGGCTAGGTAGCTATATTTCTCGTGGTGTTTATACGGTGTCTGGCCCCTTTCATCCTTTTGGCGGCGCAGTAGATATAATTGTAGTGGAACAACCAGATGGGAGCTTCAAATCGTCACCTTGGTATGTTCGATTTGGTAAATTTCAAGGGGTTTTAAAGACAAGGGAAAAGGTGGTTAGCATCTCTGTTAATGGCGTCAAAGCGAATTTCCACATGTTTCTTGATCATAAAGGGGAAGCTTACTTTCTGAGGGAGGTAGATGGTGAAGAAGGGGAATCTGATGGTGTCACTTTTCCCTCGGGATACGAAACAGATGAGCCTATGTCTGCTGATAGGATGCCAATGAAGTCCAAAAGTTTCAACTATGTTGCTGATAAGTCTAACTCTGTGGGTGAGGTTGATGTGAGCAATGGGAAGATTTTGGCTAGGACTACTTCCCGGAGGTCACGGATATTTGGATTGTTTGGACGGAGGTCGACAAAGGAGAATGGTTACCAGGAGGGTGCTGATGGTGCTGGTGTAATGAGCTTAGATTCATTGGAGCGTGCTGAAATTGCTGCTGACCTGTTGGAGGTGAAGTGGTCTACCAATCTTACCTCTAATATATCAAATATTAATGTGTCCAGATTATCTTCTATGAACGATTCATTGGATAATAAAGGTTCTGAAGAGCATACACAAATTAACTGTGAAGAAAACTGGTTCCCCACTTCTGCTGATGATGAGGGAAAAATAACGATGAAGAAAGTCAATTTAACTCTTCTGTACATGATAAGGAGGAAAATAACATCGGTGGCCAGACCTTACTAGAGGAAACTGAATGCTACAATGAGCAAAAGGTCAGTTCTCATTCTGGCCTTGAGAACCTAGAGTATTCTGTTGAGCAAGCTAGCATTCGAGTGTCTCGTGTAAGGGCTAAGCAACAAATTGTTGAAACCTCATCATTAGGTGAAGGTTTCACAAAAGATAAATGCAAAGTAATAGCCAATATTTCAGGAAGTATAGATAATCTTAGTGTTGGAATTTCGGATCACAATGAGAATGAGATGGGTGCTGTCTCAGGGATGAGTTGTCCTGATCTGCAAAGTCAACTTAACCTTGAAGCATCGACGGACAAGAAATTTGATGAAGAACTGGTCTGCCACGAAAGTAATGTTGTTTTACCAGTCTGGGGAATTCCAATAAGGAAGTTGTTCCAGAGAGTCTTCAATCTTTTGTTTACCCCAAAACGTCAGAATGCTCAGTAATAACATTTGATGGTTCAGCTGAACAAAGTCTTCAAACATTGAGCATTTCTGATGAAGGAAATGAGAAAATACATGTTCATGCTGAAACGCTGGTTACAACAACTGAGCTAGTGCCAGAGGTGAACTCCCTTCCAAAATGTTTCATGTAGTTGCACAAGACATTTTAAACAAAATCTGATTAAGAACCTGTTGCACCTTATTTAATGATGCATTGCTCTTTTGAAGGCCCCAAAATTGCTTTCAAATGCACTTGAAATGTTATGAACCTAATTTTTTCTTTGAAAAGTATTCCGTTTATAATCAATAAAAAATCTTGCTGAACTGATGGAATAGATGGTTTAAATCAGGTTACAGTTCTTAAGCAAAAGGAGGACATGGAGTTGGATTCTGAAGGGATATTAACAGTCTCGGAATCCTGCTCTCAAATGGTTAGTGTGGACCCTCTAATTGGTTTGGAAGAAATGAAGTTACACAGCTTTCATACCACTTCCACCATCAGTGATTCGGTTGATCAAGCTGAAGATGATAAAAATACCAAGGATAGTCCAATATTCTTTGGACTCTGTTGATGATTGCTATCATGATCGTGACCCAAAGAGAAGTACTCCACCATCAGAGAGTTCCGAGGATGAACAATTCCTTTTCAGTGATCTTGATGGATCGAACTTCGTGAGCCAGATTCTGTAAATAAAGATCTTCGTCCTTCAACTTGTACAAAAATGAAGGACGTGATTTATATAATGTTAATAATGAGTCATATTTATATCTGGATAATTTTGTTCAGGAGAATTCATCCAATGATTTGGAATACTCTGTCGGAAAGCCAAGGAGCAATCCTATTGTATTTCTAGAAATCATAGATTAGGTGGTGCGAATGATGGGTTGCAGGTGGAGTCACTCCCTAATATGTGGTCTCCTGGTGTCAACTTTGATGCTAACAGCCATCTTCCTGTTGGCCATTCTCTGGACTCAAATTCTGAAACCATGAAGTGGACATCGATCAGGAAAGATGATTCGAGCCATATAAGGTCAGATGCAGACGAGGAACAACCATTAGAAGATGAAGGTCTAGTATTGAGGAGAGCGAAACTTCAGGGAAGCCGAAAAATACTCTTAATAGTCCTGCTGTCGGTAAGAGAACACCTTTATATTTTTTTTTTCTCTTTCTTTGATGAATAAGAGAACTCGGGTACTGTGTATTACTTTCTTGAGTTTACTCTTTACACTGCTTTTTCACCTTTTAGGGAATGCTTTAAATTCAAATATATCTTGAGAAATTAATTCTTTCTATGTGATGAATAAAACCCGTATAATCATGCTAAAGTACAACATTCCGTGTTGTTTTGATTTTTAATTAAACATAAAAGAAATGGTCTGTTGTTTCGGTGCAACTGCTCTCTTGGCTATAAGTTGTTGAAAGTGACATGAATTATGCTTTCTGCAGAGATATCTCTTTGCAAACACCTACTATTTGAAGGGATGGGGGCTGAAGCTGCTTGTCAAGTATTTGATGCTGAAAAACTGGATAGCAAAAAGTTTAGCTCTTTAGGCCCTGCTGTCGTGAAGAATGATAAGCTTGTTGTTCGAGTTGGTGGCTGTTACTTTCCTTGGGATGAAGCAGCCCCTATTATTTTAGGGATGGTTACATTCGGAAGTGAAGAATTATTTGAATCCAAAGGCATGCTACCTGTTGACAGAGTGGAGAAATCCATTGAAGGGGATCCATCAAAAGACATATCCCGTTGTGGCAGCTGGAGGCTTTGGCCTTTTTCTTTGAAACGGTCGAGATCTAGGAATGCGGTGCAATCGGCTCCAGCTGAGACCAGAGGTTTCGATGCTGATAAAGCTGCAGACGTTACTGTTGCCAGAAATGATAATAAACATATGCTTAAACCCATTCAGGTGAAGAAGATGATTAGGGCAATCACTCCTACCTCTGAACAGCTGGCTTCATTAAACATAAAGGATGGGATGAATCATATAACCTTCACATTTTCGACCCCTATGCTAGGGAAGCAACAGGTGGATTTGTTGAATCCTGACTTGAAGTTACTTATTCTTTCTGAAAACTTATTTAGTGCTTTGTTATTGAGATCAGTGTTTTGTTTTCGAGATCGTTTCTTATTTATCACTTATTGTCTGGATGTGCTCACTCAAAAGCATGTATTAAACAGGTTGATGCCAGAATCTATTTGTGGAAATGGAACACTCGTGTAGTAATATCCGATGTCGATGGGACAATTACAAAGTAAGGATGTTTCTAAGATTTCCTCATGCAGAAGACCCTATTATGCTACTTCATGTTTTAGATTGAGTAGTGAGTACTGGCTAAAGTTTTCATGTCTATGTTATTAAGTTCTTTTTTTGCAATTAAAGATAATTCAGGATATGCTTCATATTACCCACTGCTGATTTGTTGGCTTTTTATTTATTCTTATAGTGAGCTGTGGCCTTTTGAGGTGTTGCTCAACCAAGGTGGTAAAGCTTTGCCACAGTTGATTTACTGGCTTTTTATTTATTCTTAGATGCATCTTTAACATTAACTTTTGGTTAACTTGAGTAATATTTTGTTTGGTCATCAATTTTAATCTTGGGCTCAAATTCATGGATGTCTTACATAACCTTGAATTTCTTTTACAGTGGTTTCTTTTATAATCTGCTTCTTTCTTAAGTTCTTAATTGCAGCAGGTAAGGATTTTCTTGTGCTTTTCTTGATTCCCTAATTTTATGTTGTTGATACAGATCAGATGTTCTTGGCCAGTTCATGCCTATGGTCGGGATAGATTGGTCACAAACAGGTGTTGCGCATTTGTTTTCAGCTATTAAGGTCTGCCGTGTTCATCTTCCATTATAATTTCTTAGTTCATGATACTTTATTCCTTGTAAATAAAAAGAAAACATTGGGTTAGTGAACCATGTACAGCCTTATTTCAAATTGTAGAAAGAAAACAATTCTATATTTTAAATGGATTCTAATGCATGATTTTGAGTAACGCTGTTAATATAATCAATGGATTAAAATTCCTCTTCTATACTGCAGGAAAATGGCTATCAATTGCTTTTTCTTAGTGCACGTGCAATATCCCAGGCATATATTACTAGACAGTTTTTGGTCAATCTTAAGCAGGTATTCTATGCTAGTTTGCTGCCTTTGTTATATCAAAGTCAAACAGTAAATTGAGAATAAAAAAATTCAAAATTTCTTCTTTCCATTGTTATTCTTTGTTTGACTTACCACCATTGCTCATAGAAAGGAGAAACTCCTTGGCAATATGTCTTCGTGTCTGTAGGATGGCAAGGCTTTACCAGATGGGCCAATTGTAATTTCCCCTGATGGCCTTTTTCCATCCCTATATCGAGAAGGTAACTTTTTTTTTTTAATGTATTTCAGAGACATAAAACAGTTTTATAAGGTTGCTTTTCTTGTAGCAAGATAGTTTTCTTATTCTTTTTTTTTATAAGAATTAGAGGTCTCGTTAAAACTCCCTTCCTATATGTCGAAATACACAATGTATTTCAAGGAAAATTGGAAGGAGGAAAAGAGTACCTCAAAATTTTATTAGAGAATCAAATGCAGTACAACAAAGAAGAGACATAACCTACCTAGGAACATACACCAAGCCAAAAGCAGAAATAACTAGAAATAAAAACAAACCCACAATACAAAAGAGAAACAAGTTAACCAATGCCTACTTTTGCTAGCTTATCCACCTCCCTGTTGACACTTCTCTGGATGTGCCTTAAAATCACATTACGATCCAACACAATAGAGACAATATCCTTCACTATACACTCGTACGAGGCGGGACAAGAGCCAGGATTTTTTAACCATTCCAAGACATTAATACAATCGCTTTCCAAAATCAAACGCCCCTTATGATTCCATGAAGAATAGCAAACCAAATTTAACTCGATTAATTCAGACAGGGCAGGGGGACCAGGCCCAACCGATTCTGAAAAGGTCCCTAACAGGGTGCTGTCAGAATCCCGAGATATAACTCCAATACAACCATTTTTCCAATCCCTGTTCACCTCACCGTCAACATTAATTTAAAAAAAAACCCGGGGGAGTGGGAGTCGGGGGGGGGGGGAACTATTTTCTTGCAACTCTTACAAGAGTCAAGTATACCTCTTTAATTTACTTTGTCTTATTTATCCTTTTGGATTTGTTGCATAGATTCTAATGTGGACATTAGTTATGTTCTATAATGTAATACATATATATTTAAAAAGTGACATATGAGTATCTTTTTTTTATTTATTAAGAATTGAATGTCTCGTTAAAGACCCCCTTTATAATTGTCAATAAACCAGGGAAGTCTACCGAGAAAAGAGGAAAGGGTAAAAGAGTACCTCAAGTTTTATTGAAACAGGGGATTAACAATCCTTAGGATTACAACCCGATTACAGAACCATCCCATTACAATTTCCAATACAAAACTAGACTATATCACCTTTCTACCTAACATTAGCTAATCCCTTTTTTTTTTTGCTAACTCATCCGCCTCCCAATTAGCACATCTATGAATGAAGCGAATTAGGTCCTCATAACTCTTAACGACAGACTCGATTTCCTTAACAATGGACTCAAAACACGGAGGACATAATGAAGGATCCTTAATCCACTCTAGAGCATTCCTACAATCACTCTCCAGGACCAACCGACCCTTTTCTCCCCAATCTGTCGAAGTGAACAATAGAAGGCCAGCTCTGATTGCTTTTAATTATGCCAGTGCAGAAGGACCGGACCAATAGGTTCCGAAGACAAGCCTAAAATGTGACTGCGGGAGTCCCTTATTAATCCCCCCTTACCCCCCCCCCCCCATTTCCAGTCCCTATTAACTGCTCTGTCCACGTTTAACTTTAGAAATCCTTCCAGAGGGGGAGACCAAATCATAGGAGGCGATTTCTTCTTTCTAATGATTTTACACGAATCTGTTAGGGAAGGGTCTCCAATAAGGGGCTCAAGAGGAATTGAAGAATTTGGATTTCTGGTTGAGAACCAAGCTGTTAGTCTAAATCTCGCTACCCTGTGCAGAATAAGGCAAATGATCTCTTTCTTTTTCATTAATTCAATTTCTATTGCATCCCAGGATGACATGGTGTGTTATCGTAATTCTGTGTCAACCCCTCAATGGATTTATGACATTTATGAAAGGCTTAATATCAAAATAAGTGCCCAAACAATACCTCAATTCTCGAATGAGTGCCTAAACTATTTTGACCCATCTAGGTGCCTAACATTACAATTATTACCATTTTAGGTGTCCGGGACGTTAACGGAATTAAATTCCCCTGTTAGGTGACATGTGTCACAATCTGATTATTTTTAAATTTATTTTTTAAAAATATTATTATATTTATAAAAAAACCTTAATTTCTCTTAAATTATAAAAAAGCCCCAAAATACTTAAAATCCCCAAATCATATTCTTAACCGTTGTCGCCACCTTTTCCTGCCACAACCACCGCTGCCGACGTAGTCCCTGCCATCCTCCTAGTCATACGCCGTCGTAGTTTCTGTCAAGATCGCGTGGGGTCACGATTTTCATCCTAGGGTGCACGGGGTACAAAGTGTCGATTCGCCGTCGGTCGGTCACAATTTCATGGAGTTTTGGTCGTTGGGCGTAGATGAGGTCGGGTGGAGCTTCGTCGAGGGCAAAGGGCGCGGATGGCGTGGGTTTAGGGATTGAAATGAAGAATTTTAAATTATTGGGGTTATTTCAAAATGTTATGTTTTTCTTTTAAAAATATATAATTTTAATTTTTAATATAATTTTCAAAATACCAGATTATAACACGTATTACTTAATGGGGAAATTAACTTCATTGACGGCCCGGACACCTAAAATTGTAACTTTTGTAATGTTAGGCACTTAGATGAGTCAAAAAGTAGTTTAGGCATCTATTCGAAAATTGAGGTATAGCTTGAGCACTTATTTTGGTGTTAAGCCTTTATGAAATAATCAAATAACTAACTTGAGAAGATTGTAGCTGTAACGTCGGAAATTGATACACGAGGCCTAATATTACAACCTTAAAAAAAATCAAAGTTTAGTTGTTATATCACTTTGAGCTGCAATAAGTTTTAAACAAAATATTGTTCTATTTTATTTTGCAACTGTTACATATTATCTAGGAAATTGAAAGCTTCCTCGGCATGACCCCTTTGAAATCCAAATTGAATTGGGCTTCAGATTCATTATTAATATGTTATCATTCTGATTTGGAGCATATAGCTTATTAGAGTTGAACATCCATTCTTATCTGTTTCTTCTAGGGACGAAGCCAGGATATTTTATGGGGACAAACGTAAGTAATAAAATTTTAGAGGGCTAAAATATAATTTATCATTGTTTTAGCTGATAACTTTAAAATATTTAAAAGGATTAAATTAAGAATTTTCATTTTTGGAGGCGGTTGGAATGCGGTTTTACCATTATCTGAAGTGAAAACTTTATATTTCAAATGGACTGAAATCAAAATTTACCCTTTTAGAGGGAGCCAAGCCCGCTGCCTGCACCTCGCTGTCTTCATCCCTGCTTCTTTCCCCCCTCCCGAAGACATCTCAAACCACATTATTTTGACTGAAACATCTTTATTTGTTTCTCAGTTATCAGAAGAGCTCCTCATGAGTTTAAGATCGCTTGTTTAGAGGTTAGTTCTCTAATCTGACATCCTTAGCTTCTGATACGGTATTTTTGCTGTTAAATAAATGAATTAGTCTTTGCTTCTTCTTGTGTGTCGAATCAGTTGAATGGGTTGCATGCAAGTCTAAGAAGAATTTAAAGCATTATGAGTGATGTAAATTGCACTTCTTAATAGAATGGGATTTTAAGTGGAGTTATAACAAATTTATATTATTAGAACTCTTCAATTAGTCTTTTGCTCGAAACACAACATTCCTTGTAATTTGAATCTGTCTTTAATATTATGCATCACGAGTCTCATCGTTAAAATTCTTTATGGCTTTGTAGATACTATGCATTATGGCTAGAGATTAAAAGCTTTCCAATATACATAGATAGATGATAAGGAACAGTGTGTCTAAAAACTGGAACATTTTAATTTTCTTAATATATGTTTTGATTTACAGGAGATTAAGGCGTTGTTTCCATCTGATTGCAATCCATTCTATGCTGGTTTTGGTAATAGAGACACCGATGAAATCAGCTATGTTAAGGTTGGAATCTCAAGAGGGAAAATCTTCATTATAAACCCGAAGGTAATTAAAGGCTTCTTCATGCTTAAAGAAAGGTGACCAAGTTCTAATGTCACTGCGCCGAATATTCTCTTCTAATGGTTTAATGTTTGTAGGGTGAGGTTGCTGTGAATCGTCGTGTTGACACAAAATCTTATAGTTCCCTTCATGCTCTTGTTCATGGCATGTTTCCACCAACGAATTCATCCGAGCAGGTTTTGTTACCTTTCCCTTTTTATATATAACACACGACGACTTGGAGTTCATTTCCGAAGCCAAAAATTGGCTTCAAACCCAGAATCAATGGGGCTGAATTCATACCTGTTTTATGGAAAGATTCCACATTGTCCCTTCTTTCTTCTAGATTTTCCATCCTTGCTTGGGTGGTGCAGATTGATTGAGGTTTCACCTTCTGATAATATATTAAGTCTAAAATTGCTAGGTTTATTCATCTTTTCCGTGTCGTCAGAACTTTTGTTGGTTAAATTCTTTTATTTCTATTTATTACAGGAAGATTTTAATTCATGGAATTTCTGGAAATTGCCACCTCCCGTCATTGACATATGAGGTTTTCAACTAGAATATGTTGCGTTAGCATTCGGATACCGAGAAAAATGATTCTGGAGCTATCCGCGTATATTTTGATGCCGATGTTGCCCGCACTTCCATTAAATGTGCATAACAAGATTACACACTTAAATATGTAATCATGGCTGTTTGAAGTAATTTCCTGCATGCTCTTGAAAGTGCAGGGGTGGCCAGCTCTCGATTGTCCAATGTAATTTATATGAAATTTGCGTAGAATCTTAGGTTTGGCTTCACTGTAGTTGGATTTGTAGCTGTGTAGTGAATTCTTGCGACCCTACAAACAGTTTAAACATGTAAACATTCATTGGAGAAAAAGGTAGTTTTAATTTTTGTTTTTATATATTTTATTCCTGATACAAAACCAATCTTGACTAGTTCATAGGAGATTGCTTGTACTCCAAACAACCCTATGCTATGAAGTACAGACACCAGAAATCTAGGACGGATGTTAAATTTTAAAGACAAACGAATCTATTGAATTAAGTTTTGCGTGTACCGATGAAAGTAACTTGGATTATTAACAATGTTCGATCAGAAGAATGTATCATCAAAAAAGAAAGGAATACAGAGATACGACAAATGATCTCTTCACAAATACAAAATTCTGACGTTCAAGTGTTTCTCTGTGAATTCTGCCAGGTTTTTGATCTCATTGTCGTCAATAAAGCCATTACCATTCCCATCCACTCCACGGATCGGATTATTTGCTTGCTCTTCCTCCTAGCGAACCATCCACCACTAGACACTCGTATTGCATCTGTAAGCTCGTCTCTGCTAATCCGGCCGTCTTTATCATCATTGAATTTCTTTAACCATCTCTTGAACTCATCGATTGTCATTTCCCGCTTGCCATCTGTGGAGTATGTTCGAGTTTTAATGGCCATTCCTACTGTCAAAGCCTGGCAAGTCCCTTCGTTGCACACTGGTATTGCATGCTGGTTAGCTTGGCAGCTGCCCCGGTGTACAAATATTTGGAGGCTTCTCATATTTATACCGTTCCCTAGTGCTTTGAGCTTTTGCAAACGCATTAAATCGAATGGCATAACTTAATTTAAAAATGCAGACGCGTATTTAAAAGTTAAGGGTCAAGTTGTTGTTTTGTTTCCGCTACTATTCTTAAATTTAGAATTTGGTCCATGTGCATCCATCGAACCATCTTTTATAATGTCAGTAATTGGTCCAAATGAGTAAAAGCATCAATTATCCCTACTTAAATGTTGATGCGGATTTTTTTCCTCTCTTAAAAAAACCCTTGCCAAGTCATTATGCTGAAATTTATTTTCCTTCTTTTATGCTACGAGTGATTTAACACTTTAACAAAGATAATGAATAATATTATCTTTTTGGAAAAACTAATGATATTATAAAAGTAGAGGGATCAATTATACTATAGTAAACAGCAGTCACTAGCATTTATTGAGTGACCTCAATAGTAAAAGGGATTGATGTTAAGATTTGGATTCAAGCAACTGTGCTTGCAGGATGTGTGTTATTGACTAAGAAATATTCTGAACATATACTACCTTGCAGTTATCCATACTGTTAGAAAACAATAGTTACATATTTTGAGCATAATAGAGGGACTAAAACTAGAATTTGGCCGAAGTTTAGACACAATTGTTAGTACCCTAAGATGGATAGAAATAAGATTTATGAGTAGCTTTTTGCAAACGCTACCTAAGATTCTTCTATGTTTGGATAAAACAAAGGGTATAGAGCCATTAAAGTAGTGATGGTTGTTCAAATCCAAGGAACCGGACGACAAGTGGGTTGATTAATATATGAAATTTTGTTCAGAGTTGCCAGCCATTGTGTTAGGCGAAAAGGGTCAATGGATAGCATAGCAGCTAAAATTGTACCCAATGCATTTAACAGTTAGGTGCCCCTCACGGCTTTAGATTACAATAATGGTAGTGCTTTGTTATCAGAAACGGACCCTAAATGATCGTGTTTAATGGAAAAGAGGAAGAAAATTATACAATAATCTGATTTTAGTAAAACCTCAATCTCAAGATTAAACTATCCATTTATAGAATATAATTTCTTTTTGAGAAAATTTCCACTTAGGTCCCGAAACGTTTCTCAATTTTATACTTTTTCCACCAAACTTTCAAAATTTACATTTTGGTCACTAACCAAAATTTGGGGTATTACAATTCTTCCCGTTAAAAAAATCCGTCCTCGAGTTTTCAATACGTACCTGATGTAAATAGACAAGGATGCTATTTTTTCACTATTTGATTTCTTTGTCGAACTTTAATAAGTACTGGTTCTTTTTCATAAGTCATACCTGGCCAAATCTCTATTTCCTCCTGGGGAATAGTATGAGAATGATCTGATTGATACCTCCTGAGCATCGACACATGAAAAAAATCATGGATCTTGTCCATTTCTGAAGGCACTTTTAGTTGATAAGTCATTGATCCAACTTTTGTTTTATAAACTTATAAGGTCCAATAAATCTCAGACTCGGTTTTCCTTTGCGTCTGAACCACAATACTTTTTTTCCAAGGTGATAATTTAAGAAATACTTCTTTATCACCTTCCAGGTATTCAATCTCTTTTCTTTTCAAGTACGTGCAAGGCTTGTCGATCAATAACTATCTTGAGATTATCTTAAATGGTATTTTCCCATTACAAGGTTCATTGTAACTCGTTCCTATTCTCACTAAAGAATAGAATTCGGTTACAATAATTCAGAAGGCACTTGATGGTTTACTTTAACTCACTAACGTGTCAGCCATTTAGAAACTAGCTCGATCATAACTCTTTTCATACCTATTTATAAACTCTTTCCTCGATAATATAATTCATCAAACTTAACCTTAAAGTCTTTAGTTTCACCTTTTTCTGCTTGTTCTATCTTTGACAAGCACGACAATTTTCATATTTTCTCTGACGATCCTTTATTCGATCTAGCAACATGGGCTTTAAATTTAATTATACAATCAAAACACCATCTTTCTTTAAAGGCAATCACATATTCAAAACTCTCAGAATATAAATGTCTTTCAACTTTATTGTATCAGCCACCATATTAGCCTTTCCTATTTGTAGTTGATAATCGCGTCATCATTCTTTAAGGAATTCAATCCGTTTCCTTTCTTTTCACTCCTTCGAGTCAACACATACTTTTGATTTTTGAGATCCGTATAGATATAGCGTCACTCACCACATAGATAGTGGTGTTATATCAACAAAGTAAACACAACTATTTCCAACTCGAGATCGTGAGTCAGATAATTTCTTTCATGATTCTCTAGTTGCTTTGAAGCATAAACCAAAAATTTTCCACTTGTACGAACATGCATCCCAAACCATTATGAGACGAATTACTATAATTCTCATAATCTTTTCCATATTCTAATTATACTGACCTTGGAGCTTATGTCAGTATTCTTTTTAACATCTCAAAGTTTTCTTGGCACTTAACATTCCAAATGAGTAACACGTCTTTTCCCAATAGCTTGGTCAGAGGGAATATAATCATCGAAAAGTTCTTTATGAACCTTCGATAGTAACCAACAAATCCCATGAAACTTTGAAATTCGAAAACATTCTATGGAATTTATCATTCGACTATATCTCGTGCTTTATTGAAATATATTCTTATCCCCTTAACTGAGTCCACATGGGCAAGGAGTATAACCTTAGACAACTAACATTTACACTTAGTCAACTTAGCATGCAATTTTTTTCTCCCGAATAGTTTGAAGAGCTATACAAAAACAAACATCGTGTTCTTCCTTGGTCTTACAACATATCACAATAACATCAATGAACACTACCACCAATTATTCCAAGTATAACTAAAATACTAGGTTTATCCAATCCATAAGTGTCGCAGGAACATTCGTTAAACCAAGCGACATTATCGTAAATTCGTAGTATTTATATTGAATTCTAAAAAATGAATTAGGAAGATCCAACATGGGAGACACCAATGCACCCTTTTAACTGATCAAAAGATTATTAATCCTTGGAAGAGGATACTTGTTCCTCTTTGTTACCTTATTTAGCAGACGTTAATCCATACATAATTTCATAGACTCGTCTTTCTTTTTCACAATAACACTAGTGTGTCCCAAATGTCACACTTAGTCTTGTAAATTCCCAGTCTTAACAATTCTACTAACCATGCCTTTAATTCTCTAAGCTCAGCCGAAGCCATTCGATACGGCTATAGAAATAAACGCAATACCGAGAAGCATCTCTATTTTACTTTCTACATCTCAATCTAGAGGTAATCCAGGTAACTTTTGTAGATGCACAATTAAATACTCTAAAAAGTTGGAATATCTCCAACTTAACTATGAAAGTTTGAATATCCACCTCATCGACTAAGAAAGCTTAACAACCTTATAACAATAACTTTATAATAGTTACTGCCAAAATCCCATCAGGGAACAATTTTACTCTCTTTCCCTATCATTATATCTCGAAACTTTTCAAATTCTTTAAAATCAATCGCTTTAAGCGATTATTCGTTGCAACATGGTAGGGGGTAATCAATCCATTCCAAAAATTACCTTCGAAGTCAATTCTATCAAGTCTATTATAAATCAACACTTTGAATCCTTACTAGACAATTACTGTCTACAAATACTACTCACCCTCGCCTTCAAGTCTAAAGGGTTAGGCGCACGTAACACTTAGGATCAATTCTATCAGAATGTTTCATTCTTTAATCAATATTGTACTAATGCATGAACGAGGGGTTTTCTTAAACTTACATTGACACTTTCTATTGTGCCAAAGCATCAACTTATTTAGACTAAATAGGATGATGATGATTAACATCATTACTATCACTACTAACTTATTTTTGAACCTCCTACTCGATCACGTTCTTCAAACCCTCGAATACACACATCTTTTTTGTATACTATATTTATTCACCTTTATAAGTAAGAAGTGACATTAATCGAACCTTATAATCACCAAATCAGTAACAATGGCATCATAGTGCCATGTATACACTTTTTAACTAAAAACAAGCTCGGTTTAGTCCTAGAATTGACCAAACCTATAGCTATGATACCAATAAATTTAACACCCATAACCCGTATACGCGAATCAATACGAGTTACAGATGTCACATCAGAAATTCAAAATATTTCTTTAGAATTTAACTGAGTAAAATTTTAGTTTCACTCAAACAACACTAGTTTCACAACTTGAAAAATTATTATAAAATAATTAACTATAGAAAAATCGTAATATAATACTTTAGTTACCAATTCAAAACCAGTTTCAAGCAGTGATAGACAGTTTGTTCTGTTTCATAAAATAAATAAGATTATCTAACACGTTTTATTTAAAACCCAAATTAATTTTTAA